TGGTTTATTTGCTCTTTGGGTGTTGAGGTGTGTAAGTTCTTTATATATTTTGAATGTTAACCCCTTGTTGGTTATGTCATTTACAAATATATTCTCCCATATTGTAGGATGCCTTTTTGTATTATTGATGATGTTCTTTGCCATAGAAAACTTTTTAGTTTGATGTAGTCCCATGACTTCATTTTTGCTTTTGTTTCCCTTTCTCAAGAAGATGGGTTCAGGAAGAAGTTGCTCATGCTTACATTCAGGAGATGTTTGCCTATGTTGTCTTCTAAGAGTTTTATGGTTTCATGACTTACATTCAAGTCTTTGATCCATTTCGAGTTTACTTTTGTATATGGGGTTAATAATCTGGTTTCTTTCTCTTGCATGTAGCTGTCCAGTTTTGCCAACACCAGCTGTTGAAGAGGCTGTCATTTCCCGATTGTATGTCCATGGCTCCTTTATTGCATGTTAATTGACCATATATGTTTGGGTTAATGTTTGGAGACTCTATTTTGTTCCACTGGTCTGTGGCTCTGTTCTTGTGCCAGTACCAAATTGTCTTGATTACTGTGGCTTTGTAGTAGAGCTTGAAGTTGAGGAGCAAAATCTCTCTCACTTTATTCTTTCTTCTCAGGATTGCTTTGGCTATTTGGGGGTCTTTGATGTTTCCATATGAGTTTTAAGACGATTTTCTCTAGGTCATTGAAGAATGTTGTTGGCATTTTGATATGAATTGCATTGAATCTGTAGATTGCTTTAGGCAGGATGGCCATTTTGACAATATTAATTCTTCCTATCCATGAGCATGGGATGTTTCCATTTATTGGTATCTTCTTTAATTTCTCTCATGAGTGTCTAGTAGTTTTCAGAGTATAGTTCTTTCACTTCCTTGGTTAGGTTTATTCCTAGGTATTTTATTCCTTTTGATGCAGTTGTGAATGGAATTGTTTTCCTGATTTCTCTCTCTGCTAGTTCCTTGTTAGTGTATAGGAATGCCACAGATATCTTTGTGTTAATTTTGAATCCTGCAACTTGGCTGAATTCCTATTCTCTGATTTCTATTCTATTTTGTACAATATCATGTCATCTGTAAACAGGGACAGTTTAACTTCTTCCTTGCCAAGCTAGATGCCTTGTATTTCTTTGTGTTGTCTGATTGCCATGGCTAGGACCTCCAGTACTATGTTGAATAGAAGTGGGGAGAGTGGGCATCCTTGTCTTGTTCCCAATCTTAAAGGAAAAGCTTTCAGCTTCTCACTGTTAAGTATAATGTTGACTGTGGGTTTGTCATATATGGCCTTTATTATGTTGAGGTATTTGCCCTCTTTACCCATTTTGTTGAGAGTTTTTATCATGAATGGATGTTGAATTTTGTCAAATGCTTTTTTAGCATCTATTGAGATGATCGTGTGATTTTGGTCCTTCTTTTTGTTGATGTGGTGGATGATGTTGATGGGTTTTTCTAGTGTACCATCCTTGCATCCCTGGCATAAATCGTACTTGATCATGATGGATGATCTTTTTGATGTATTTTTGACTTTGATTTGCTAATATTTTGTTGAGTATTTTTGCATCTATGTTCATCAGGGATATTGGTCTGTAATTTTCTTTTTTTGTGGTGTCTTTGCCTGGTTTTGGTATTAGAGTGGCTAGCCTCATAGAATGTGTTTGGAAGTATTTCCTCCTCTTCTGTTTTTTGGAAAACTTTAAGGAGAATGGGTATTAGGTCTTCACAAAATGTTTGATAAAATTCAGCAGTGAAACCATCTGGTCCAGGGATTTTCTTCTTAGGTAGGTTTTTGATTCCTAGGAACCCTTAATTTTTATGAACAATCTTGCATAATTGGAATGTTTTCCATAATAGCTATTGTAATTCTAGGTTTCTTAGTAGAATTTTGCCATTTTTGTAGATACCGACAGCTTCCATGACCACAATTCTTAGACATAAAATAAGCAGGTATTCCAAAAGGTAGAGTACTCAATTATCTGAAATTTGAGGATCCCTTTTTTTTTTCTTTTTTTCTTTTTTTTTTCTTTTTGACTAAGTCTTGTGTCTCTCTGAGCCAAATTAATACATCAGAGAGATGTATCACTGGGTTGGGGATTTTGTGATGTTTTACAGCATCAGTACTTGATTGCACAGAATTTTTCTGGAGGTTGGCAGGTGACCTAGTGTTGATATGACCTGTTCTATGTCCAGCTTACCCCCACATGGGAATCTTAAATTTAGGTAGCAAGTGCTCTAACATCTTTTCAAGTGCAGAGCTCACACCTGCCAACTTTGCAGCCTTGGCTTCTCAGATTCCCTCTAGCAATAGATCTATTAGTCCTTTCACTCTAATAATTTGTGCCTATTTGTTGTGCATTCATTAAAAGTTTGAATCTCTTGTCTTATTTCCCCAAGTCTCCTAGCAGTTTATGCTGTGGACTTAACCTGGAGGCTTTATGAGTCCCCTAACTGCTGCCACTCATCAGACTCCCAGTGTAACCAACAGGGAGCTTTCTGGGAAAAATTATTATTTTTTTTTTAACAAAGTTTGTTTGGATCAGATTGCTATACCCAAGGGAGTGGAGCTCAAAAACAGAATGAATGACTCACCCACGGCCCTTGGTTTCAATGAGGAGCAGTGAACTCAAAGGGTTCCGTGGGCTCCTCACCTGTGCATTTTGTCCCTTGGGCCTTTAGCATTCAGCTTCAGATCCTATTCTCATTGCCAAAGACTGCAAAACATGACTAAAGAAGACAATTTCAGTGATCAGGCTGAACAAACTATTTGTTGCTTCACAAAGCAGTCTCCACTCCCAAGGGTCCAGAGAACCACAAAATGGCAGAAGGCAGGAAGCTTTCATAGGATGAATGACAGGAAACAAGGAAGTACGTGCAGAGCCGAGTTGGCCTGGTGTTTGGTCAAGCAAAGAGTTTACAGGGCCGTGAAAGTCAGCCTGCAGCTCACTGATGTGGTGCGCTGGGCAGGAGTGGCTCCATCTGGGGCCTAGAAGTTAATTTCAACAAAACTATGGCCTGAAAAAAAAGTGATAGACTATTTGTGGCTCACAAGGTCTAAAATATTTAGTCTGGCTCTTTCCATACAGAAAAGTTTTCCTGACTTTCCTACTTGAACCACAGGCACAAATGGCTTGATGATTTGCATTGCTGTGCAAGCAAGGGTATAAACCCTCTCACACAGCAGGCTAGTGCAGGGGTGTCACTCCCTGGTGATTCTAGCGAGTTCTTCTTCCACTACATAAGGAGGGTCGGGAAGAATAGGTGAGCCAAGCCTTGGAGTCCCCTATTTCAGAAGTCTCCACAGTAAGTTTGAACAGCAAAAAAAGACCAAGTCTAAATGTAAAAGCCTGAAGTGGTCTCTTTCCACAGCATAACTAAGATGGTTTGTTCCTAGTTTCTTGGTGATTATATGTGACTTGTACTAACTTAAGCATATTTTTTTTATGAATAGGAAGTTTTCATTAATAATATGGAGGCTGCAATTTAAATCATGTTAACTTTAATTGTGAATTTGTCATTCTATTTGTTTTGAAAGGCTTAATGATACCAGACCCCCTTCATGTCTTAGCTACAAAATTTCAGTCCCAACTCTTGCTATATACCTCGTGGAAAATATCAAGTATACAAATGCATTTCATCTGAGATTTAAGACTTACTTATATAGATTTTATATCCAGGAAGAAAAGCCACCTTCCCTATTGTATAAAATTATCTACATATTGTCTTCCAGCAAAGAGATCAATATATAGTTAACCCACCTCATTTTCATGTGCCTTAGTTTTAAAAGATACAGAATTAGTTTCTTGATTACCAAGTAACATACAGAAATTAAATCAGGTTTTTTCAATATGCCACAGCTCTTTGTGAAGGTGAAATGCAATTTTCTTCTCTGGTAGACATCAGTTTGCAGGTCTTCATTTAATTTGCTGGAATGAGATTTAATAGATCAATACATTTAATCGATCTTCTCCATTCATACCATACTCAGTTGTCTGGCACTAGAAACTAGTAATGAAAGGTTCTTTAATTAATAAACTTGTAAGGAATTAAATTCCTAGCATTTAACCTTTGTGTACCTGACAGTGTGATGGTAGCTTTATAATTAAGTTATTCTAATATAATACATCATTCAGAAAAAAAATCACTTAATAAATACCTTCTTTCAAGAATTTGATTTTTAGCTTACCAGGCTTATCAGAATGAATAAGTTTCTCAGAGTAATTCTAAAATGGAATTATTACTATTAAATTATTGATGTAGCTCATCCAAATTATTGGGGTAATTCCATGTGTTAAGTGCTCATAACACTGCAAGTACACCCCTTTTAAGATTTCCTCAAAGATGTATAGCTATTGAGTGGCAAAACCATCAAGGGCTATGTGCTCACACAATTCTATTTATTGAATTTACATATTAAAGTTGTAAGGAATGGATATTAAAAAGGCTTGTGAACAGACAAGCAAAATAATTTCATCACACTACTAAATCCATGTTCCAGTCAACAGAAAAGGGAATAGTCAGTCTTTCGTAAGTGGATGTGACTTGAATTGAAAATCTATAGGGCACATTATATGATGAGCCAGGTTTCCTTTTATATGTATTGTCACTACTTAAAGCCTCCACAGAAAATAGAGTAAGATAGAGCACCCTCTTAATTTAAATTCCAACCTCCCTTTACATTCTACTGTGTCCTTTGTACAAGTTAGTTGACTTCCCTTTGACTTATTTCCTTGTGAGTGTGAAGGATGTGATAATCCTTTTACTTATAATCAAAAGGAATTATATGAATCATCTAATTCATTCAATGAATGGGTCACCTTTCCCATTAAGAAAACCTAAACAAAACTCTAAATTCATCATTACATAATAGGTTACCTCATTTGTGATTAAAATACATATTACCTTAAACAAGCTATGGAAAAAATGCAAAAGCACACTTTGGACCTGGTGGGGGAAAGGATCAAGACTGATGTGTTTATAGTTTTTTTCCCCCTTTATTCAACAGTGCCTTCCCTATCTACTCAGACAACAAAACACATCTGGTTTACTATGAACAGGACATGGGGGAGAGGGCAAGTTACACTCAGCCCCAAAACAGGACTCTCCACAGCTCCATTCAGAGGCAGCAGCTCAGATCAACCTAACCACCCAACCTACCTGTTCTCCCTCCGTGCGTGTGTGTGTGTGTGTGTGTGTGTGTGTGTGTGTGTGTGTGTGTGTGTGGTGACAGCATACACATACCTCTGCATTACAGCAAAAAGCTTTGTATTTCAGGCAGGCAAACAGACGCACCACCTATCCACTTTGAGATGACCAGTTTTTACTGTATCCAACCATAAGGAGAGAGGAATAGGAGAGGCTGCCTCTTCTACGACTTTGCCCTGGGAGCATCCCTTGTTCTGTGGTATCCTCTTTTTGTGTACTACGTAAAACAGAAGGAGCAGCCGGTATCTACGGTTAGCACAGCAAGTAGTACCCTTGTCTACAGGGGTACAGTCAAGACCACCAGTGAATGCCAGAAACCACAAGACAGTATATGTAGGGGTTCTATGCTGTTTTCCTATATCTAGCTAGGATTAAGTTTAACTTGTAAATTAGGCACAGTAAGAGATTAACAACAGTAACTAATAGTAAAATAGATTACACTGCAGTAAAAGTTATGTGAATGTGGTCTCAAAATACTGAACTGTATTCGCCGTTATGATGATGTGAGCTGATGAAATGAGATGGAGTGAGGTGGATGATGCAGACATTATGATGCAGCATTAGGCTACTACTGATAGTCGCCATACGTGAGGAGGATCATCTGCTCTGAACCACAGTTGGCCACAGGTAACTGAAACCACATAAAGCAGAACTGGCTAAGCGGAACTACTGTACTAGGGGAAAGGTAGCTGGAACAGTATGTGAAGAGCCTGCAACCCTAGGGGCAGCGCAAATAGCTATTTCTGCTCCTCTGCTGCTCTTAGCTCTCCAGCAGTGCAACTTCTACAGGAAGCAAAGGTTTGAAGTGAATAATTGCTTTAACTTCAGTGCTGCTCAAAGTTACATGCAGGAAAACTGGATACCCAATTTTTCTTTTGAAACCCAAGAAATACATCATTGCGTTAATGCACAATGGATATCATATCTGCTTATGAGAAGAACTTCCATACTCAAGTTCATTTCCTTTGACCAAAAGGTGGTAACTGAGGATACTGACAAGATTCTGGCATCACTTACCTGTAGGGCCCGTCCTTTGGTCTCAATAGGGAGAGTAAATGCAGAAATGGCACATATGACACAGACAGATGAGAAGAGACACAGGGCCCCCAGGATTGAGGCATTCATAAGGACCTGCAAGTCACAAGGAATGAAAGAATTCTCTGTGCCTCACTCACTTCCAAACTGATCTTTATGTCAAGAGGAACTGAGGATTCACCTCACCAAATACATAAATGAAGGCCCTTTGCAGCCTTTCTGTAAATTGTGCATGCCTGACATCTTAGGTCTATTAGTTATTTGGCCTAAGCTGTTGCAGGCATTTTGTGTGATTCCTCCATGAGCTGGAACTGATAGTAACATGACACTGGCTAGGTTAGACCTTTCTCTGCACTTACCCCTCAGTCATCTCCACGACTAAGTTATAAAAAGCCAAGCACAAAAATTACAGACCAATATCCCTACTGAACATAGGTGCAAAAATACTCAACAAAATATTAGCAAACCGAATTCAAAAATACATCAAGCAGATCATGTGCTATTATCAAGTACAATTTATTCCAGGGATGCAAGGATGGTACAGTATTAGAAAATCCAGCAACATCAACAAAAAAAAGACAAAAACCATATGATCATCTCCATAGAAGCCAAAAAAGCATTCAACAAAATTCAACATCCATTCATGACAAAAACTCTAAACAAAATGAGAATACAGGGCAAGTACCCCAACATAATTAAGGCCATATATGAGAAACCCACAGCCAACATCATACTTAACAGCGAGAAGCTGAAAGCCTTTAAGATCAGGAACAAGACAGGGATGCCCACTCTCTTCACTTTTATTCAACATAGTACTGGAGGTCCTCGCCATGGCAATCACACAACACAAAGAAATAAAAGGCATTCAGATTGGTAAAGAAGAGGTTAAACTGTCACTGTTTGCTGAGGACATGATATTGTACATAAAAAACCCTAAAGAATCCATTCCAAAACTACTAGATCTAATATCTAAATTCAGCAAAGTTGATCATGCACTATTATCAAGTAGGATTTATTCCAGGGATGCAAGGATGGTACAGTATTAGAAAATCAAAATTGATACACAGAAAACTGTGGCATTCCTATACACTAACAATGAACTAGTAGAAAGAGAAATCAGGAAAACAATTCCATTCACAACTGCATCAAAAGGAATAAAATACCTAGGAATAAAGCTAATGAAGGAAGTGAAGGACCTATACCCTGAAAACTACAAGACACTCATGAGAGAAATTTAAAAAGATACCAATAAATGGAAACACATTCCATGCTCATGGATAGGAAGAATTAATATTGTCAAAATGGCCATCCTGCCTAAAGCAATCTACAGATTCAATGCAATTCCTATCAAAATACCAACAGCATTCTTCAATGGACTGGAACAAATAGTTTTAAAATTCATACAGAACCACAGAAGACCCTGAATAGCTAAAGAAATCCTGAGAAGGAAGAATAAAGCTGGGGGGATTATGCTCTCTGACTTCAAACTCTACTGCAAAGCCACAGTAATCAAGACAATTTGGTACTAGCACAAGAACAGACCCATAGACCAATGGAACAGACTAGAGGGCCCTGATATTAACCCAACCATATATGGTCAATTAATATATGATAAAGGAACAATGGACATACAATGGGGAAAGGACAGCCTCTTCAACAGCTGGTGTTGGCAAAACCGGACAGCTACATGTAAGAGAATGAAACTGGATTATTGTTTAACCCCATACACAAAAGTAAACACGAAATGGATCAAAGACTTGAATGTAAGTCATGAAACCATAAAACTCTTAGAAGACAACATAGGCAAGCATCTCCTGAATAGAAGCATGAGCAACTTCTTCCTGATGCATCTCCTCAAGCAAGGGAAACAAAAGCAAAAATGAACTCATGGGACTACATCAAACTAAAAAGTTTCTGTACGGCAAAGGACACCATCAACAGAACAAAAAGGCATCCTATGGAATGGGAGAATATATTTGTAAATGACATATCTGACAAGGGGTTAACATCCAAAATATATGAAGAACTTATACTGTCTCAACACCCACAAAGCAAATAACCCAATTAACAAATGGGCAGAGGATATGAAGAGGCAGTTCTCCAAAGAAGAAATTCAGATGGCCAACAGACACATGAAAAGATGCTCCACATCACTAATCATCAGGGAAATGCAATTTAAAACTACAATGAGATATCACCTCACACCAGTAAGGATGGCCAGCATCGAAAAGACTAAGAACAACAAATGCTGGCAAGGATGCGGAGAAAAGGGAACCCCCTACACTGCTAGTTCAACCATTGTGAAAAGCAATATGGAGGTTCCTCAAAAAACTAAAAATAGAAATACCATTTGACCTGGGAATTCCACTCCTAGGAATTTACCCAAAGAATACAAATTCTCAGATTCAAAAAGACATATGCACCCCTATGTTTATCACAGCACTATTTACAATAGCCAAGATATAGAAGCAACCTAAGTGTCCATCAGTAGATGAATGGATAAAGAAGATGTGCTACATATACACAATGGAATACTATTCAGCCATAAGAAAGAAACAAATCCTACCATTTGCAACAACATGGATGGAGCTGGAGGATATTATGCTCAGTGAAATAAGCCAGGCGGAGAAAGACAAGTACCAAATGATTTCACTCATTTGTGGAGTATAACAACGAAGCAAAACTGAAGGAACAAAACAGCAGCAGACTCACAGATTCCAAGAAAGGACTAGCAGTTACCAAAGGGGAGAGGTGGGGGAGGATGGGCAGGTAGAGAGAGAGAAGGGGATTGAGGGGTATTATAATTGGCACACATGGTGTGGGGGGGATCATGGGGAAGACGAATAGTGACTCTGTGGCATCTTACTACACTGATGGGCAGTGACTGCAATGGGGTATGGGGGGGGACACGATAATATGGGCAAATGTAGGGACCACATTGTTTTTGCATGTGTAACCTTCGTAAGAATGTATATAAATACCTTAATAAAAAAATAAACAAATAAATATAAAAAGCCAAGCACTTGGTAGTTGTCAATTAATCTCACAAAAATGGTCACTGAAGTAATTAGGGAATTACATGGTTCTCTTGAGTCACAGAATATTGCAGTTTGGACAGACCTGGAAACTATGCAGGTTAGTCCAACCTCCTCACCTTACTGACAAACCTAGGGTAAGGCTGAGTGACTACCTGTCCCATGTCACATTTAGATCCCTGACACATAGCCTAGTATTATTACCACCACTTAGGTTTCCCTACAATACACAATGATAAAAGGTTTTGTCCAAAGACACAACAATCCTCAAGATTTCAAAATACACTCATTAAGAACCAAATGCAAGAGCATCAAAGTACATTCAAGCAAACACTGAAAGGAGAAAGAGAGAAACCCACATATAGAGATATCAATACTCCTCTCTCAACATTTGATAAAACAACGAGACTGAAAATCAGCAGGGATATAGAAGAACTTTATGACACCATCACCCACCAGGACCTCATTGGCATTTATAGAGCGCTCCACCCAACAAACAGCAGTGTACACATTCTTGTCCACTGAACATGGAACATTCACCAAGACAGACCATGTTCTGGGTTATTAGTGAATTTTTAAAAGAATTGAAATCATAGAAGGTGTTCTCTAAAATGGTATCAACACAAAGATGACCGCAAAATCTCCAAACACTTCTAAACATCCAATGGGACAAAATCTAAGATTTAAAGACTTAAATTAAGAAAAATTAGAAATACATTGAATGGAATGAAAAATACAAGATACAAAATTTGGGATGCATAGCTAATTAATAGCAAAAATATAATACTTAGAAATAAACTTAAATTCATAAGACATGAAGAAAATTACAACTCTACTAATGGACAAGAAGAATTGTATACATCTATTTAGTTCTTAGAAAAATGCAGTATTATACAAATACCATTCTCACCAATGTAATCTTTAATTCTAATGGATTCTCAATAAAAATCCCAGTAGGATTTTTGGGTCAGCTTTGGTCTTAAAAAAATGATTCTAAAGTTAACTTGAAAAATCAGAACTTCTGAAAACATATGTGCTGTGAGGGAGTCTGGGGGAGGTTATTAGCCTACGAGTCATTCAACAAAGTTCCAATTATTAAAACTGTGATACTCGTGCCAAATGAGATCACTAAAACAATGAGTCACAAATCAATCCAAGAACCTAGAGTGTGGTTTATCATAGGGGCATGGTGACTAGAGAAACCAGAGAAGCAAATGATTAATGGCCTGAACACTACCAGGTAGGCATTGTTTTGTTACTTTTTGAAAGCTGGGCACTTAACTCAGGCCTTAAGCATGCATAAGTTGTGAATAAATTAGAGAATTAAATACTTTAGATGAAACAATGAAAGCCTTTGAACTTTCAATGTTTTAGAAATATTTTCAGAAATACAAAGGAGTGACGAAGGCCACTAAGCATGACACAAAACACTAACTCCTTACATGAAAATAATCGGCAAATGGACTACAGAAAAATGTGAAATCTTGTATGCAAAAAAAAGACTTTTTTAGAAAAACTCTTAAATTTTTAGAAAAATTCTTCCCTCTCCTGTAGAAAAATTGCAAATCATGTAACTAAGCAATTTACAACAAACAGAAAATGGATAAACAGACAAAAGTTGTTTGCCTTATTAATAACAAACAAAGTACAAATTAAGATATACTTTATTGTCCAGTATACCAAAAAAGGTCATTTAAAAAAATATGTTATTATCCCTTTTAGTGATGATGGAAAAAAATGGGTGCTTATTTGAGAATGTGTTAACTGTATGTTAATATCAAGAAGTGTACAGATTTTTTAAATAGAGAAGACAATTTGGCAAGATCCACATAGTTTAAAATACACACACCCTTTAATCTAAAAATTACCCAACAGGCTTTTTCTAAAAATAATGCTCTTCCCTCAGATATATCCCACTGTCACTCCGCCATGTCTCTGTCCTATTGTAAAGGCCCTCCCCTCCCTAACCACCCTATATAGCAGACCACCCCATCAGTTGCTCCTTTCCGTGTTTTATATATTTTCACAGCATTAATCATACCTAACATACTAGTAAACTGT